GACTAGACAAAATCTCCCAGAATCGCATGACCGGTTTCCTGGATCCTGCCGCTCGTCACTCCAGTCATTCATATACTAATCATAGCAGAATCACTGGAAACGGGCCCTGGCACCGAGCAGGATTAGGTTAGACGCATTTAAACCACGACAACTAGCAAAGAACCATCAATGATTCGGCAAGCCTTCTTTGTCTAAAATCGACTCCTCGGGCTGCAAATACGGTTTACGTTGCCTAAATCACATCTTGAGTACAAGGATAAGAATCACGGTGCCATTTTAAGATTGAGTTGAGAAACTCTGAATTGAGATAGAAACGCTCCGGTTGGGTCCGCTTCCGTTCAGTGCACCTCGTTAGTCAAGTGATCGCATGTCTTTTTCTAACCCCGGATTGACAACCTGTCTTCCCACGCTCTTTGTGTTGAAATGAGGCCGACCTCAGTCTTGCATCTTGTGGAGCTCGCTGACGGAGTTTGATTCGGTGCTTGGGTGACGTCGTGCGATTACCTCGAGACAGCGAAGTTAGACCGACTCGATAGGCACGAATGGTGATGCACGCTACAGCTAAAGCACGGCTGGTGGCAGTTAATCGGACATTGAAGATAGCTCAATCACCAAAGGTTACAACAGTAACTACGTTGTACTTCGAGTGATGCTTGTGAAGGCATGTAAACCGATTTCATGCTGCATTTTCCGTAACCGTAGATCTCCGAAATAAAATATCAGCGTTCTGTCAAAGGTATTAGTGGGGGTAACATCTTCGAGTGGCAATCGATTGGAATCTTAACAGTGTTTGTAAATTCTGTAGTTTATGGTCAAAAGTGAATGTATTCTTCTGAGGGCATAGTGGTTTCAGTAATCGGGTTGTGCGAAAGTTGACGAAAGTCATCCCCTGCTTAATGACATACTCGTGGTATAGAAATTTGTGTGCTAAAAATCTAGATAAAATTGACTTGTTTTATTGTAGTAATTCGTTCTTTTTCACCTACGTTCTCGTCCATAACTTTCAGATTTGGATCGTTTTCGTTTGGCTCTCCTGGACCTTCGACGACGTGCAGTTTTCATACCAGGTGCTTATTTCATCAATCGAATTATCTGTGACGTTCTCCGCATGTGTCCAGTCACATTTGTTCCCTAACGATCATTCTATATGCATATTATTGTTTTCGGGCCACAGCACCGCATTCGTACTGTCTTTATCTGCAGATCTTCCCTGTCAACTCTCACACATCAGAACACTCTTCGGTCTCATTTCGTGATGCGATCTGTGCACGGACAATCCGTTGTTCCTAGCGTCTTCCCTCCACATCTTACTGCCGTTTTAGTCAAAGTAACAACCTCGCCAGATTGTGCGTGTGTGCGCGTGAGCGTCTCATCATTTTTACGTTTCTCTCTTTTGTATTGGTCAGTTGCATCTGTAACGCTCTAAAATTCAGATCCACCACCTCCCTCTCATTTCTCATTTTCGTCTTACCACTGTTTTCATCTATATTTAGCGCCTGTGATGGTCACAATACATAATAATATACATCCGTTTTTCGCAGTTTGTTTTTCTCATACCCCTAGCAGTGATAGCACTGTTAGAAATCGTCATCTTGCTAAACTTTCGGCGGTTATTCTATCTTTTTGGCTACAAATGTAATGGGATCACCCTCTCGTACGTCCTCTTCTTCGCTGCCTCCAATACCATTGATGTGGGTTTGTATTTGTGCTTCCCGCCACAGGCACCCAAGGCGTTCATCCAGCTACAGTTAGGAGATTTTGTCTTCCTCCACTATATCCGTTGCAAGGGCGTTCCATATGGTTGTCGACCTCCTCCAGAGTTGGTAGATAAGTCAATGTCGTCACTCATTGCATCTGTCTATCCTCGAAACTGATCGTTGGACCGGAGTCGGGACCCAACCTCCAACTCAGGACATACCCCAGGGAGTATTCTTCGCATGTGTATAAAGTCTGTGTTAGAGAACAACCAACCTTCGTTTTTGGGTGATCACTTGCAGTCCCTTAACCATTCTTGCGGCGGAGCGTGGTATCCTTTACAGTTTCCCCACTCTCAAGGGTTAATTTGGCAAATGTGACGTGATGGCCTGTCGACTAGACCTCTTTTGGATCTCAAAGTATGCGCGCAGCCTCCTCGTGTTAGTTTCCCCGAGATGGACAAGAGAAATTCCATATGGAAGTGTTGAAAGCCAAGGAAACTCGCTTGACAACACACCAATCTAGACGCTCGATTGGCAAGCCCCACAAATGGTCCTGTGAGAACTGAACTGAACTCGTGGTTATCGTAGACTTTTATTGGTGTATCGTGGTACTAGGCGGTACCGATAACTGCATCTGTGACGACTAAACAACGCAAGCAAATAAATGCAGTAGCAAGCGAAAGCGTGTCTCACGTGTTGCCGTGGTTTGAAACGGGAGTCAGCTTAACTTGCGGTACGTTAGCCCATGATTTGAATTTTTAAAGTGCTCATGATGGAAAGCATTTTTACTCAGCTAATTGGGAAATATCAATCGATATTTCAAACTATATATAATGAAATATCCAGTTTCACTATTCGTTTTGTTTTTTGACCTCAAGAGGGCCACACTTTTAAAGCGTTATACAGTTAAGAGTGAAGTATCGGTAGATATTTCATTCCTGCTAAAAGTCTTTTTCTTAGTCGTTGTATCGTACACTCGACCCAACTGGTCTACCAGTTTTACTTTTGAGGAATTTTCGGTCCCGTTTTAACGCGAACCTGAGTCATTTTTGGTTGAGTAATTTTTTCACTTGTTTCTGCAATTTGGGGTGCATTTTATTTATACTGCTTTTCCTGTGCGATACGTGAACTGAAGTCATTGTTAATAGAACATCCATAGTCCAGCATCCTGACACTTGTGGAGCCAATAGTTGTGGTATGTTGGTTAGCAATGGTATACAGTGCAATAGATGTGGTTCGAGGTACCATGAAAAATGCTCCAAGATGTCGAAGCAGTGCCATGCGCTGCATTTTCAACATGAAGAATTGTAGTGGATATGCGCACACTGCGAGGCTCTGGTAGAGGAATGCTCGCGCATTCTGAAAGGAGTTTTGGTAGGGACCGTGACCACTAAATCACAACAAACTTCAAATACTTGCGCGCCGAGACCAGCAACGAAGCAGGTGGCGGCGGCTTGATCAAGCATTAAACATAGTACGAAGAAAAACACCAAGAGAAAAAACACGTAAAGGCGCTACTGGCAAACTGTTAGAGTTTATAGAAGTGATTGCTCATATAGGACAGTTGCAGAAATATCTCCAAGAAGTGCAACACAGCACTCCAGCGCTATTGGGTCGAACGAGAAAGGTCTTGCTGCATAACTTTGCGAATCTAACGATTCGCGATGCTAAAGCGCGACGAGAAGCGGATGGGAAACATGTTCAAGATGTTTTCTGACTGGCGGGTATGCCGGCCAACGCTCCCTATATTAAGTGTCACAGGGATGGGTTGTGGAGGCAAAACCAGACAGCTAAACCTAGACCTATACTAGTCGTATTCTACAGTGCATATGGCCGGGACCTTCTGCTATCTAGGGCTGTTGCAGTGAAAATGAACACCAGAGGATGTATCAACGTTACTCCTGATACTGTTCATCACGCCCAGCTTGGTGTCATCCCCATTGTTCCTGCAACAAAAGAAACCCAGAGTTATTCAAAGTAAAATGAACGCCCACATGGCGCACGGAGTAGGAGTGGTTGGGGTGTGCCAACGCGTGGTGATTCAACAAAATCTACCAGCTGGATCACCGTTGAGCAAGTTCAAACCCCTAAAACCCAAACCAAAGGGGCCAAAAGGCGATAACAGAAGGGAGAAAAAGCCGAGGCATTCCCGAGTTAGGGTCCCTGGGAAGAAAGCAGAGAACAGAAGAGCTGACGACCCAACAACGACCATTCCATCGGAGCCATCCAAGTCTGAGGGAGCAAAAGTGAAGGTTGAGTCTAAGGTCACTTATAGCAAGGCGAAATCAACGTCCGTTAGTTGGGCCACAGTAGTAGCTAGAAATATCCAGGTGTCCCTCCTCTGAGTAGAAAACTATCCGTGCTTAGAAGGCAATGAGCACCCGTGAAAAGACTCAGTGAGGAATTTGGGTTAACCTTCCAAGACATAACTAAGTCTGTGGGGGCAATCACCCGGTCGTTCACGGTGCGTGATCGTCCCGTACCCGCAAACGTGGTATCAAAAAACGTGATAGCTCTTCGGGACATACGTCCGAGGATTCACCCCGAGCAATAGAGAAGAGTGGTATGAAGGAGGAAGTGGACACCATCACAGTCTGTCACACTAACGAGTGCGGTGTTAGAAAAAATGAGGTCATAATAGCTATCACTGAAACTTGGATTCGGCATGAGCAGGATGTAGAGAAGCCCGGAGACTATTCGGTTTATAGGCAAGATAGGGTGGACAGCAGACAAGGTGGAGGAGTACTCCTGCTGGTCAAAGCCACCTACACTCAACGGGACTCACCAGTAAAACTGGCGACACCTAATATTCAAACCAAGACGTGTAGTATCCTCTTAGGAAGACGACCGTTAGGAGTGCTACTAGTCTATTGCGTACCCCCGGCGGAACCCACAGAAAATATAGAACTACTTTCTACAATGCAAGAATTTCTATCGAGGACCCAAGGGATCCAAGTTCTGGGGGACTTCAACCTTCCGAAGATCTGCTGAGTAGAGGGAAAAGCTCCCCTTGGGACGAAGAGAGAAAGCTTTCTAACGTGGCTGCATGAGCATGCGCTCATTCAGCACATCATGCAAGCCATAAGGTTTCGCAACCAACAGAGGGTCTCCGTTCTGGACTTAGTTATGACGCGGTACTTATCGGACATAAGTGAGGTAGCAGTGTAGACTTCACTAGGCAAGAGTGACTATGTCGTACGTACGTCAGTACTACTAATGATACACATCAAATCGGCTGCCCCACTTAAACGGTGCTATAGCCGTATAAACGTTGCTGCCATACAAGAGGCCGCGAAGCATGTAGATTGGTTACCACTAGATNAGGCATTAGGTAACCACAAGGACAAAAAAGAAAACTGTATGGTCCTTCTCAGCTAAACATCCCGCGGTCTAAAAAGAGTGGTCACCATCCCCCAACCGCAAGAGCATTTTGACTCAATTTGAACGAACAGCGGTCTATAGATAAAAAAGTTGCCACCATGACCAGACCGTAAGGAGCCGGCGGTAACGTGGAACGCCATAGCGGTGTACTCCTGTTGGTCTCCAATTGACGTTCATGTGATGAGCAAATTCTGAGGTAAACGACAACAGTTCTCATTGAACATATCCTTCGTGGGTGGTCTCAAGAGGCCAAAAAAGAATTTAAAAAAATTTGAAATAAAGAAATCAAAAATAAAATAAATAAACAAAAAAAGAGATTATGATTATAAAAATAATAAAAGGTCTACTGCACACCGAGCACGAAAAGCCCACCACGCTCTCATACATCGTATACCATACAGCATGCAACCCGAATCTATCTAAGCGAACCACTCACACATTGCTCACTCACCATTGCAGCACACGAAAGCATACAAGAAACAAACATCGCACAAAATAAGTGACAGGATGCACCCTTTGCTGGCCAGTGCTGAATGTCCTTATATGAGTGCAAAAGTGCGACTTCACAATGGTACTGTTAGTTTCTTATTCTTACCNTGGTATTGTTGCTCGCTGGGCTAGCTGTCTGAATCTAGAGAAGGTAAACGAATCATAACAACCCACGAAAACAATATTCACGTCGTAGCACCAGAGGAATTCCCAAATCCTACTAGTGTATGAATCTGGACGCACGTTAGGCGAAAGCCT